TTTATCAATCTTGTTAATTCTTTCACAGAACCAGCTCCTAGTTTCGTTGATCTGTCCTACTGTTCTTTTGGTTTCTATTTCATTAATTTCTGCTCTGATCTTTATGATTTCTCTTCTCCTCCTGGGTTTAGGCTTTATTTGCTGTTCTTTCTCCAGCTCCTTTAGGTGTAGGGTTAGGTTGTGTATTTGAGACCCCAAGGCTTGTATTGCTATATACTTTTCTCTCAGGACTGCCTTTGCTGTATCCCAAAGATTTTGAATAGTTGTGTTTTCATTTTCATTGGTTTCCATGAATTTTTTTAATTCTTCTTTAATTTCCTGGTTGACCCATTCATTCTTTAGTAGGATGCTCTTTAGCCTCCATGTCTTTGAGTTCTTTCCGACTTTCCTCTTGTGATTGAGTTCCAGTTTCAAAGCATTGTGGTCTGAAAATATGCAGGGAATAATCCCAATCTTTTGGTACCGGTTGAGACCTGATTTGTGACCTAGGATGTGATCTATTCTGGAGAATGTTCCATGGGCACTAGAGAAGAATGTGTATTCCGTTGCTTTGGGATGGAATGTTCTGAATATGTCTGTGAAGTCCATTTGGTCCAGTGTGTCATTTAAAGTCTTTATTTCCTAGTTGATCTTTTGCTTAGATGATCTGTCCATTTCAGTCAGGGGGGTGTTAAAGTCCCCCACTATTATTGTATTGTTGTCAATGTGTTTCTTTGCTTTTGTTATAATTGCCTCATATAATTGGCTGCTCCCATGTTCGGGGCATAGATATTTACAATTGTTAGATCTTCTTGTTGGATAGACCCTTTAAGTAGGATATAGTGTCCTTCTTCATCTCTTATTACAGTCTTTGTTTTAAAATCTAATTTGTCTGATATAAGAATTGCCACCCCAGCTTTCTTTTGGTGTCCATTAGCATGGTAAATGGTTTTGTACCCCTCACTTTCAATCTGGGGGTGTCTTTGGGTCTAAAATGAGTCTCTTGCAGACAACATATTGATGGGTCTTGTTTTTTAATCCAATCTGATAGCCTGTGTCTTTTGATTGGGGCATTTAGCCCATTTACATTCAGGGTAACTATTGAAAGGTATGAATTTAGTGCCATTGTATTGCCTGTAAGGTGACTGTGACTGTATATTGTCTGTGTTCCTTTCTGATCTATGCTGCTTTTAGGCTCTCTCTTTGCTTAGAGGACCCCTTTCAATATTTCTTGTAGGGCTGGTTTCGTGTTTGCAAATTCCTTTAGTTTTTGTTTGTCTTGGAAGCTTTTTATCTCTCCTTCAATTTTCAGTGATAGCCTAGCTGGATATAGTATTCTTGGCTGCATATTTTTCTCGTTTAGTGCTCTGAAGATATCATGCCAGTCCTTTCTGGCCTGCCAGGTCTCTGTGGATAGGTCTGTTGCCAGTCTAATATTTCTACCATTGTAGGTTACATATCTCTTCTCCCGAGCTGCTTTCAGGATTTTCTCTTTGTCTCTGAGACTCGTAAGTTTTACTATTAGATGTCGGGGTGTTGACCTATTTTTATTGATTTTGAGAGGGGTTCTCTGAGCCTCCTGGATTTTGATGCCTGTTTCCTTCCTCACATTAGGGAAGTTCTCTGCTATTATTTGCTCCAATATACCTTCTGCCCCTCTCTCTCCTTCTTCTTCTTCTGGGATCCCAGTTATTTTAATGTTGTTTCGTCTTATGGTATCGCTTATCTCTCGAATTCTGCCCTCATGATCCTGTAGTTGTTTCTCTCTCTTTTTCTCAGCCTCTTTATTTTCCATCATTTGGTCTTCTATATCACTGATTCTCTCTTCTGCCTCATTTATCCTAGCAGTCAGTGCCCCCATTTTTGATTGCACCTCATGAATAGCCTTTTTGATTTCAACTTGGTTAGATTTTAGTTCTTTTATTTCTCCAGAAAGCGTTTCTCTAATAACTTCCACGCTTTTTTCAAGCCCAGCTAGTATCTTTAAAGTCATGATTCTGAACTCTAGGTCCGACATCGTACTAATGTCCGTATTGAGTAGGTCCCTGGCTGATGGTACTACCTCTTGTTCTTTTTGCTGAGGTGATTTTTTTCGTCTTGTCATTTTGTCCAGAGGAGAACAGATGAATGAGAGAACAAAATGCTAACAGGTTAACAACGTCCCTAGCAAATATACTCTATACAAATCAGAAAAGACCTGAAACCAGGGGAAAAGAAAGGGAAAGAAAGAAAAAAGAAAGAGAAAAAAGAAAAAAAAGAAAAAGACAAAAACAAAATACAAAAAAACCCAGAATATGATCAAATATGATCAGGCTAGTGCGTAGATCAGTGCCACACACTAGAGTTTGGGTGTATTTTGGTCTGTTAGAAAAAAGTGCTTCTTAAAATTTCAAAGGAAGAAAGACATATATGTACAAAATAAGGGTTGATACAATGAAGGGATGGAAGATGACTGTAAAGATGAAAATTATAAAAGATTTTATAAAAGGAATTGATAAGGTAGGAAGTTGTTTGAAAAAAGAAAGAAGATTTAAAAAAAGAAGAATGTGATCAGGCAGGAGACTAGAACAGAGCCATACGCTAGTGATTTAGGGTATATTTTGATCTGTTAGAAGAAACTGTATCTCAAAATTTTAAAGTGAGAACAACTTATTATATATATATGCCAAAAATAAGGGTAACTAGTATGAAGCGATAAAATATGACTCTAAAAATGAAAAATAAAAAATGTTTTGTTTTAAAGAAGGGATTGATAAGATGTTGGTTGAAAAAGGGGAAAAAAATTTAAAAAAGAACAGTTAAAAAATTAACTTTGAAAAACTAATGAATCATGGTAAAAAAGCTATGAATTCTCTGTGCAGTATTCCCCTAGCTCTGGAGTTCTACTGTTCTCCTTGATCGGTAAACTTGGTCTTGGCTGGCTGTTCGTGCTGATCTTCTGGGGGAGGGGCCTGTTGCCGTGGTTCCCAAATGTCTTTGCCGGAGGCGGAATTGCCCCGCCCCTGTCAGTCCAGGCTAAGGAAGCTGCTCGGGTTTGCTCTCAGGAGCTTTTTTTCACTGCAAGCTCTGGTACAGCTTTGGAGGACCAGGGTGAAAATGGTGGCCTCCCAATCTCCACCCGGAGGAGCTGAGAACTCAGGGCCCCACTCCTCAGTGCGCTCCCAGAGAAAAGCAGTCACTCCCGTCTCCCCGGTCTCCGGCCGCACTCCGTGCTCACCCGGCCTGTGACTGAGCGTTTCTATCTCTGGCACCCGACCCCGTGTGGAGTCTCCAAACCCAGCAGATCCCTGCGGTGCGTTCCCGCGCCGCTCCTCCCCGGGGAGGAAGGGGAGTCTCCCGGCTCTGCCGCTTGTTAGGTCCTGCTGGAGGAGCAGTGGCCCGACTGGGCCGTGGATCACAGTTTATGGCAACCCCGAGCTGAGAGCCCGGGCCTCGGCTCTGTCTCTGCAGCTGGCTTCCCTGCGCCGATACCTGGGAGCTCTGCTGCACTCAGGCACCCTCGGTTTTTTCTGTGACCCCGAGGGTCCTGAGACCACACTGTCCCGCGAGGGTTCCACCCCCCGCTTAGCCACTGGAGCGACGTCCCTCAGCGGAGACGGCTTCTAAAAGTTCCGATTTTGTGCTCCGCGGCTCTATCACTTGCCGGAAGTGGCCGATGGAGGCCCCCTCCCCCACCGTCTATCCTCCCGAACAATCGCCTCGGATTCACTTCTCCGCACGTCCTACCTTCCAGTAAGTGGTCGCTTCTCTGTTCAGAGAGTTGTTGCTACTCTCTTCTTCGATCTCCTGTTGAGTTCGTAGGTGTTCAGAATGGTTTGATCCCTATCCAGCTGAATTCCTGAGACCAGACGAAATCCAGGTCTCCTACTCCTCCGCCATCTTGCTTCACCCCCTGGAGGTAGGTTTTTATTTTCTTTATACCTTCGAAGGACCATTACTTGTACTTTTTGTCCCCCTAGACTCCTGTTTCTGGGTGGATCATGTAGAAAATGCTCCATAAGTAGATACTGGTGGAAGTAGAAAATGAAGGTCTCTTCTTTCCTTGGCTTGATTGAGTAGCTCTGGTTTTGTAAGTTCCTTTAGTAGCTGGTGCGACTGTGCTGCTGTTCATCTGGAAAGTTCCCCAGATGGGCTGCTCCTGTGCACTGCCAGATAGAGGCCTCCGGGGGTGGGAGGTTAGCTTGTCTTGCGGGACTCTGTTTCCCTGGCTGACGAAGGCTTGGCCCTGGCAGCAGCACTGGGAACTGACTGGCTAGCTTGTTTTATTTCCTTCAGCCCGACAGAGTCAGGGGTAGGCTGGGGCCGGTCTCCTTGTGGTGACTCCATGTACCGCTTGTCTAGTGCCTTTCGGGCTGCTCTGTGCACAAGGCTGGCCTGCCGGTGACAGCTGGGACGGGCCAGCCCAGATGCCCTTGCTGCCCGACTCAGAGCCACAGTACCCGCCGCTTCTTGTTTTTGTTCTAAGTTTTATCTGTGATGTTATTTTGTATTTTACGTAACTTTTAATTTTGTTATAATTTCAAACATACAGAAGAGTTGTAAGAATGGTACAAAGAACTCTTGCGTACCTTTTATCCAAATTCACCACCAGCCTTTTGCCTCATTTGCTTTTACTTGGTATGTCCTCCCTCTCTCTCTCTCTATTACGTATATGCACGCACACACACATTCTGAGCCATTTTACAGTAACTTGCAGACAGTGTGCTCCTTTACTTTTAAAAACTTCAGGATACAGTTCCTAAAACAAAGACATTCTCGCACATAATTACAGTACAATTTATAAAAATCAGCAGGTTCAATATCATTATGATGCTATTACTTAATCCACTGTCCATATTCAGATTTTGTCCATGCTCAGATAATGGTCCCAGTAATGGCAGAGCTTTATTTTTTAAAGAAAACACTCTAAGGCACGTGGGTGACTCCTCCATTATATTGGCTCAGATGAGAGCAGCACCAGCAGGTGTTTGGGGGAAGTGGCACCATGGGTGCCACATCACCAGCTCCTTGTGTCTCCTCAGGACCAGAAGAGTGAGCGCGCAGGAATCACACTCGGCAACGATGTCAGCGGAACCAGAGACTGCGGAGGGGGTCGATGAGTCGGAGAAAAAGAGCTCTGGGGCCTCAGAGAAAGAGAACCACACCAGGTGAGTGGTGGGGGCTGGCTGTGTTGAGTCCTGTGGGCTTAGGGCGCCGGGGTGTGGTTGGGGTCGTGTTGTGCTGCTGCAGCTGCCCAGGACACCTGATTGGGACTGCAGAGAGGAATAGCACACAGCACCCTGGGCTGCTTGAGCATTCTCCCCCTTTGTTCCCAAGGAAGCAGGTCAGGCACTGCTAGGAGTGCTGAGGAATGGAATTTGATGGTATTTCTGATCCTTTTTTCTTCTTAAAACCCTAAGTGTTTTGTTTTCTGTGCTGAAAAAGGGTCATTAGGCAAAACTGGCACCTTGACCAGTGTTTTCCGCTCCTTAGAATGTGGGAGTAGCTCTAACTCCAGGGATTTTTCTTACTGGGTAGGGACAGTTCATGCTAAGCCTCAAGTTACCAAAGCCTGTTCTTCATTGTTCTTATTCTCGTTGTAGCCCTGTCACTGACAAAGTGCTTTTTTATATCTTGAAATAATTGCTAATAATAAATGATTCTACTAAAGAAGCCAGCAGAGGGAGGGTGGGCCATGAAGGACCAAGTTTTTGTCACTCTGGTGGATAGATTGTGTGGACCGCGTGAGCTGCTACCCGGTGTGTCCATCTTTAGGGTCATGCGTTGTTTGCCTTGTCGTGTACTGGCTGTGGCACCTATCAGCGCAACTGCATCCTGTGTCATTTTAAGTGATACAGACCTGCGTCCTGGCTCCAACTGCCTTGGCCCGTCTCATTCTGATCCTAACCTGGGCCCAGCCCCATGTAGTCCTGAAAAGGCTGTGGATGGAAAGTGGGAGGAAGGCAGCAAGGCTGCCTTGGGACAGCCACTGTGAGTCCATCACAGCAGCACGGATTCTGCCAGACACGTTCCCCAAGGCTGGCTGCTCCCTGGAGAAGCCAGCAAACGCTGTGGTGGGATTAGAGGTATGTGTTTCCTTAGGCACTAGGTGGCCACAGAGGCAAAGCATTGTTATTTGGGTGGTTCATAGATACACGGACACTGTTAAGGAGTAGGCCACAGTCATCCCCCTTGTTACCCAAGTCCTTGGGGCCAACTCACATCTGCCTGCTCTCTGGCAAGACCCTGTATTGATGCTGGAGTGGAGTTTCTGAGCAGCTTCTGCCTCCAGCTCAGTAGGGGGACACCCTGAGACGAGAAAGGGCTAATTCATACATGCATGTGCACGCGCGCACACACACACACACACACACCCCTCCCCGCATCTCCACAGGATGGCTGACCTCTCTGAGCTCCTGAAGGAAGGGACCAAGGAAGCACATGACCGGGCAGAAAACACCCAGTTTGTCAAGGACTTCTTGAAAGGCAACATAAGGAAGGAGCTGTTTAAGGTTGGTGTCCTTGGTTGTGGATAGGGTCAGGTTGGGGCCCTTAGTCCCATGAGGAAGATCCCCTTGGAACTACTCGGAGGTGGAAGCTGGGCCTTTCTCTACCCATTCTCCACTCTTTTGACATCAGATTGTGGTTTTCACGAAGTTTAAATAGAAGAGCATAGTGGTGTAGTGTGCAGGAAGCAGAGGTATCCATGTTCCTAAGAATTCACCATGTCAGTCCTTTAAGGAACATGAAAGTTTCCTGAGTGTGTGAAATAATTCACTATAAAAATGGGCTTCTGGGGAATTGGGGTGATGGGGGCACACTGCTGGAGCCTTCACTTGTGGCTCCTCAGACGCGGGGGCAGGTGGGCTCAGGAAATGTGCTTGCTGGTCAAGGCTGACAGCCCTATCCCATGGTCTCCCCCATTGCCCTGAACAGCTGGCCACTACTGCACTTTACTTCACATATTCAGCCCTTGAGGAAGAAATGGAGCGCAACAAGGACCACCCAGCGTTTGCCCCCTTGTACTTCCCCACGGAGCTACACCGGAAGGAGGCACTGACCAAGGACATGGAGTATTTCTTTGGTGAGGACTGGGGGGAGAAGGTGCAGTGCTCTGAGGCTGCTCAAAAGTACGTGGAGCGGATCCACTATGTGGGGCAGAATGAGCCGGAGCTGCTGGTGGCCCATGCCTACACCCGCTACATGGGGGACCTCTCAGGGGGCCAGGTGCTGAAGAAGGTGGCCCAGCGGGCCCTGAAACTCCCCAGCACAGGAGAAGGGACCCAGTTCTATCTCTTTGAGAACGTGGACAATGCACAACAGTTCAAGCAGTTGTACCGGGCTAGGATGAATGCCTTGGACCTGAACCTGAAGACCAAAGAGAGGATTGTGGAGGAGGCCAATAGGGCCTTTGAGTACAACATGCAGGTATTGCTGGGGCTCATGGGGCGGGGGGGTGCTCTGATGGTGGGCGCCAATCCAGAGCTGCCTGAACGGGCGTCAGTGCATTAGGCCAGATGAGCTGTAGCCTGCCAGAGAGAAAGTGGAAGGACCAAATAGGCCACAGAGGGCATGAGCCCAGCGGTGGCTCCACTTTGTTTGACAGACAGCCTGTGTGTTTTTGCTTTGGGAAGGGCGAGGCCCTAGCACAGAGGGTTTTGGGAAAATGAAGCTGTCTCCCTCTCTCTGCCCATAGGATTCTGGTCTTGAGTGGATTTCCTCCTTTTTAGCGAGGGTTCTGAAAAGCCCCACTTGATAAGTTCATGGAGAGAACCAAGGAGAGTGAGAAGCAGAACTCCGTTTACAAGTAGCCTTTAGATGGGGCCAAGCCTGGGGAGGCTGATTCCATCCCTGGAACCCAGGCCAGCCCTCAGCACCAGGAGAGTGGCCGTGGCTGGGGGGAGTGAAGCACCGGCCCCAGTGCAGGCCCACTGGCTTAGTCTGACATTAGCAAGCCTCCAAGGGCCACTTAGGATGGGTCAGCCCTGGTGGGGCCTCAGTTTTCACATGTTCTTCTCTGTCATTCTTGCTAAAAATACCTAGCCACTGAAAATGGCATAGTGCCAGTGCTCACAGGGTGTTTTGGGGCAGCACTTTTGTTCTCTCCTCATTGTTTCTGCCCTGGTAGTTTCAGCTGTGGGCTGTGTTGTCTGGTCAGTGCCCAGGGAAGAGCCACCACAGTCAGCAGCAGTGGGATGCTGAGCATAGGTGTGGTCACACCTCTCAGAGCTTGGGCCAGAGAGAAGTGTTGGGTTGGTGTGGCTGTCCTTGCTGCTGATTGGGGCTGCTCACTTACTGGTTTGCCCTCCTGAGCAAGTCTCACCAGTTCTAGCTCCCTCTGCATGGGGGAAGAAAGAGATTTTTCTCCGAAAGCAGAGTGGACACAGTCAAGTGATGGCTGTTCATCCCCTGCCCCTGCAGATATTTGATGAACTGGACCAGGCTGGCTCCTTGTTGGCCAAAGAGACCCTGGAGGACGGGCTCCCCGTGCACGATGGGAAAGGAGATGTGCGTAAATGCCCCTACTATGCTGCTAAATCAGACAGAGGTAGGTCTTGCCTGTCCTGAACTCTCCTCCCGGGGTGGGTTGTGTCCATGTTCCCCACTGATGCCATGTCCCCTGTTGGTGCTGCCACACAGGTGCCCTGGAGGGCAGCAGCTGCCCCTTCCGAACAGCCCTGGCTGTGCTGAGTAAGCCCAGCCTGCAGTTCATTCTGGCCGCCGGTGTGGCCCTGGTTGCTGGCCTCCTGGCCTGGTACTACATGTGAAGGACCCATCGTACCACGTTGGCGCCCTCCTCCTGAGTGACCACTGGCCTGCCCCCACCTCCACCGGTGACTAAACTACCACCTCAGGTGACTTTTCTTAAATGCTGGTTTTGAGAAAACCAATAAAGGCCAGACGCTAAAGCCTCTGCCTGTAGCGTCCTCTCTGTGGACTAGACGCTGAGCTGGCTGTAGGCCCACCATTCCTGCAGCCATTAGGCCATGGTCCTGGGAGCAGCCAGCGCAGCTCAGCAGATCTGCCTGGGCCTCTGGAGCCAGCTCTGCTCCAGGGGCCTCCACACTGCTCACCCTGAGGCTCCTTCCCTTCATACTTCCTTATGTTAGCATTTAGGTGGGTACCTTTCCCCTGATGGGAACAGAGCAGCCAGCAAGCCCACACTGCTGTAGCTCTGTGGGAGGGAGGGGTGGCTTGCACCCTACCTCAGAGGCCTGGGGAGCTCCGTCCTGAACAGCCAATCCTCACCCTCTCAAGCAGAAACTCCAGAAGAGGGGAGTCTGTTTAGCTGTGGCCTATCTCCTCCCTTGACCTGTGTAAATGCTACAGCACTCAATAAAGTGGACTCTGACAGCTGCCTCCCTCTTTCCTGGCGCCAGCATTATCCTTCTCAGCCACTCCTGCTCTTCCTGTGCTCCCAACACCCCTGGTCACCTCACAGCCCTTTGCCCAGAGCAAAGCCACTGTGTCTCACAATCTGGTCTTGTGATTCTCTCGGAAGTGCCTGGGAGGTTTCCTACTTTTTGAAACAATTTGTTTATAAGTAAGGATAAAAAGTATATACTTGTATTATAACAATCTTTGTCTAAAATACAAATGTGAACTTAAATATTTTTATTGATAGGAATCAGTTTCTTGTTTTATATATTGAGGATCTGCAAAAGTTTTATTCAGAAAAGGGTTAAATGGCAGGGAAAACATTTGTCTTCGACTACTGACCAAGCCTACCCATTTTTCACAGTTCAGATGAGGGCTAGTAGGGGTGGAGCTGGCTCAGTACCTGGGGGCTGACTAGCTGCCCCCCATTAGCCTTCAGACCAGAAGCCTCAGCCCCGGTGACTCGGTCTTGCTTAAGGGAGCAAGGGTATTTGCCTGCAGGGTGGGATGACCCTGAGCTAAAGCCAGGGGGCTCCACCCTGCAGACAGTGTGGGCATCTGCCGTGGCATGGAGATAGGTGAAACCAGTGTCAGAGATAGGAAGGTGCCCTTTGAGCGCAGTGAAGCCAACTCCTACCCCAACCCAGTCACAGCTAGAACCCCACGGCTTGTCCACATTGGGTTTGGGTGTGGTTTAATCAGATACTTAGTGTCATCCCTGGGCAGTCAGTGCAGCACAAGCACAAAGACCCCGAGGACTCAAGCCCCTGTCCTTAGACCACTTCTAGCCCCCACCCTCTTTCCCTCAAAGAAAGAAGCCAGGCAAGAGAGCAGAGGCCCAGGGCAGGGGAGTGAAAGGGCCAATTTAATGAGAAACTACAAACTGAGACCAGCCATGATTCACAGTGACAGGAGGCCATGCAGTGGCAGTGCGAGACCAGGAGAGGGGCGGCAGCAGGATACAGCGGTCCACGTGATCAAGTTCACAGACAAACCATTCACGAAATACAGTGTGGGCTCAGGCCCAGGGCAGGTGTCCACCAGGGCACTTCCGCCACTTGGGGCTGCTCCTTCCTTGTCCCCAGCCTGTCCCAGTCCAGTGCCACAGCTGCTCCTGCTGCAGTACCTGCTGTTGAAACAAGCACAGTGACAGCAAGTCAGCCAGGGCCCAGGGCCCAGGGCCCAGCACTTACTGAGAAGAGGATCCATGGAGCGTGCATGACAGATCTGAGTGTGCTTGCAAGGAGGCCCCTTCTCTGTCATCTCCAGTCCTAGTTTGGACACACCAGCCACTGGGCAAAGGTCTTGCCGATACATAGCAAGGACATGGTATGGACAGATGGGTTAGGCTCCTGGGCATTCCTTCTGGCCCTAGCAAAGACGGGGGTTGTGGAGGGGTGGCCAGAAAGGGAGCTGGGTGGGGGCCAGAGGCAAGTCCCTTCTTAGCAAGCCAGGGCCTAACCACTCATCCCACGACTTTGCAGATATGCTGACCTCTCTCCCTTACTCCAGGGGACTCCTGGGCACTTGGACAGGGTGTTAAGAGTTTGAGAGTTCAAAGAGCCAGAGTCATCCTTCTAATCATCGTGTCCACCTCTAGCACCCCAGGAACAAAGCCAGGCCTTAGGACTCTGTCCTGCTTGGGTCCACTCCCCCACTCTTGGCCCAGGAGACAGAAATAACTGTGGCTATAGGTAGAGCCCCACTGCAGGCTCCAGGTCTGCTCTGGCTGCTTTTGGTCCCAGGGAGAGTTAGGACCAAATCTATACTTTGTACAGAAATGGAGGAACGAGACCCCAGCAGGGAGACCGTGCGAGGAGACCCTTCACAGCTTCTCTTCCTGATCATAAACACCAACCAAACCAGCAACACACAGGCTCAGTGCTATTCCCCTGCCACTTGCTGACCCTTGGCCTTAAATCCAACAGAATTTTTGCCGCAAGAGTCAGATGCTCAGGGAAGGGCAAGCCAAAGAGGACAAGACTTCCAGGGGACTGGTGGAATGGCTTCCACCCCCAAGTGGGAGCAGGGAAGCGAGCCACTGAGCGAGGGGAGCAAAAGCACAGGGGGCCAGACTGACAGCAGGGAGTCCAGTCCCGGCTCCGTTAGCACAGGCGCTTGTACGTGTAGATGTAGGCTTTGCAGCTGGGGCATGTGTGCGTCACATCCTTGAAGTCGTTGATGAGGCAAGGGATCAAGCAGCAGCCCAGATCACACCTGAATCAGAGACCGGGAAGACGGGGAGGTGAGAAGAGAAGGCACGGAGGACATGCAGGCCTACTCCAGCTTGGCGGCAGGTGGGCACAGCCCCCACCCCCCAAGCGCCCACATCACCTACCCCATGAAGCAGCAGAAGAAGCCCAGCACGAAGTTCATCAGGCCAATCTCATAGGAAATCTTGGTGGTGATGGCCTGCTGGCAGTGGGGACACACTGTCTGTACAGGGGCGCCCTCGAAGATCTCTCCCTGCAGTACTGTCACTGTGGTGGCAGCCCCTGAAGGAACTAGGACTGTGGCAGTGTGGCCCCCAGGGCCAGCATAGGGCCCTGGAGGGTAAGGCCCTGGTGGATAGTAGCCCATGGGTGGGTGGGGGCCTGGAGGAGGGTAGAAACCTGGAATGGCACAGAAGACAGAGTAAAGACAGGTTACTGGCTTGCCACCTGCCCTATGTGGCCCCTAGGATACAAGGGGAGGCCTCTAGGACCGGGCCCTGGGCCAAGGTGACCATCTACATTCTCCCTGCCCTGTGAGACCAAGACAGAGAAGCTACTTGGCCCAGCCAGACATGGCAGAGCCAGGAAGAAGGCCTAATCTCTCCTCGGTCTCAACTTGATGTGTTTGCTCCTTGCCTCTGACACGCAGGGGACCTCAACCACAGGAGGGAGAGCCTTGCCACTCACCAGCCCAGCTCTCTTATGCACACAGGGCTCTTGGCCCCACCAGCGTCAGATCCCGCACTGAAATACTAGGGACTGGCCCACCTCAACCTGGGGCCACCTATGCAAGAGCCCTGGGCCTTTCTTTGGCCTGAGGAATCCTCAAGAACTGCTGGCTGAGCAGGAGCCCAGGCCTCCCCATGGATTCAGGACCCTGGCAGGGAGAGGCCCCCACAGCACCCACGAGTCAGCACCTGCCACTGCGCCTGAAGGGCCTTCCCGGGAGCTAGCCCCCCTCCCAGCAGGGCCCAGGGCTCATGTGGCTTGCCCATAGTACCTGCACAGCAGTGCTTTGCTTTAGGACACCTTCCCATGTCCTCCATCCACGCCCACAATCAACGCCCCCAGCCCTGAGAAAACACTGGGCAGGAGGACCACCTACCTGCAGCAAAGGCTGGACGGCGGCCCAGATAACACGCTGGATGCTGGACTGGGCAGACCCCTGGGCTCCCCTTTCCTACTTACCTGGAGGCATGTAGGTGCCATCTGCATTCACATGTGGGGGGATGAAGCCAGGCTGAGGCATTGGGTGACCCGGTGGCTCATAGGGTGGGGGACCAATGTCTGCCGGGGGCATCGACATGCCCGGAGGGGGCTGCATCACAGCTGGGGAGGTACGGCCTGGACAGAGAAGGGCAGGGAGAGGGAGCTCAGAGGGCGGTGGCTGCAGAGTCACTGGGAGGGCTGCTCCAGGCACCAGCTCCTAGGAGCGGGGAGGGGCAAGGCACAAGGTACAGGACTGCCAGGAACACTGAACCCTACCTGGGGTAGGTGGGGCTCCGCTCTTCTCCTCCAGAAGGGGGGCTGTGGGACCTCCAGGATAAGGAGGGGGTGGCTCGCTGGACATCTCTGCTGCTTCTGAGCCTGGAAGGAAAGCCGCGACATGAACTAAGCTCCCAGCCCCCGCATGCTGGTCACGCGTGGGTCTGTGACAGCTCTCTGAGCCCCAGCAGCTCAGGTGGCCTTTCACGCCCCCACGTCAATCTCTGCACTCTGGGTGGGGACAGGGCTCGTGGACTGGGACGGATTCCTTCAGTAGAGTGGTTTAGAGTCAGCGGGCTCCCTCTAGGCCTGGGAGATCTCCCACCATCACCAAGGATAATCAGGCCCAGAGCAGCCACCATCCCCCATCATCCCCGCTTCCTGTGTCAAAGCCAGAAGGCAAGGGTGCCCTGTGAGGAAAGAAGCTGGTAAGGCAGACCCTTCCCCCAGGGCAGGAGGCTGCCTCAGTGCCAGAGCACTATGCTTGTGGGAGAGGATCTGGGAGACTTTTTACCTCAAGTCCCAAGTACTCAGAAGGGGAAGACAGGAGAGGCTCCTTCCACTGGCGGCCTGAGCAGACACGCAGGGCTCTAGGGAGCTGTCCTGGGGGGGAGAACAACAGGCAGAGCCTCAGCACTAGGGCGAGAGGCACAGCCAACACACCCCACCCCATCTGGCTGGTGGTTCCCACCGGCATAGCAGCAAGCCGCCTGCTTGCTCCGCTTCCCCTCTCACGGCTGCAGGTCCTGTCCGCTCCAGGCTCACACCAGCCCCCACAGACCCACACCTACTGCAGGAAGGAAGGAGAACAGGCTTCTCCCCACCCCAGCAGCTCTAGAGCCAGCTGTGCACGCAGGGCCCCTGCCCCGTTTTTGTGGAGGACAGGGTGGGAAGACACAGAGTGAAACACTTCCCTCATCTCTTTCCCTCCCAAGGCTCACTGAGCACCTGCTGCTGGGCCCTAGGGGAGACGCAGGAAACCAGGGGGCCTTCCTGCCTTGGGTCAGCATCCTGTCTCCCTTAGTAAGGCACTTCCTTTCACTGTTCAGCATAGAAGGTTTGAAATTAGTAGCATTTTGAAGTGAAGCTCAGTTAATTTTTTTAACTGAAAATAATATAAATCAGAAAAAATTCTCAACAGTACAAAGAGACACACAGTGAAAGCAGCTCTCCCAGGGCAGCTCCATCCGAGAGCCCCGCTAGAGGGAAGTTCAGAATGCCACCGGAGCAGAAGGAGCCTGGAGTCAGTTATGTTTATTAAATGTCACAGATCAGTGGCAGGGCCCAAGAGATCAAGTCCAAGCAACTAAAGAAAAAAACTGGATGTCAGTAAAATTAAAAACTTGGGCTTCGTGGCGCAGTTGTTTAAGCAGCTGCCTTCAGCTCAGGTTGTGATCCCAGGATCCTGGAATGGAGGCCCACATCGGGCTCTGTGCTCAGTGGGGAGTCTGCTTCCTCTCCCTCTGCCCCTGCTCTGCTCTTGCTCACTCACGCTCAAATAAATAAATAAAATCGTTAAAACAACAATAAAACCTTGGGCTTCAACAGGCACCATCAAGAAAGTGGAGACAGTTCCCAGAACGGCAGAAAAGTTTTACAGATCCATCTGCTAAAAGACTTGTATTTAAAATATATGAAGAACTCTAACTCATTAACAAAGACAACCCAATTAAAAAATGGCAAAAGATCTGTATACACCTTTCTCCAAAGATAAAAAAAAAAAAAGCCTAATAAACACCTGAAAAGAAGCTGAACACTTAGCCTAGAGGAAATGCAAATCAAAACTACAATAAGGTACCATTTCATATCCATGAGAATGGCTACAGTGAGAAAGTAACAAGTATTATGCGGAGACAGACACAGGAGTTCTCCCACTGCTGGGGGCGGGTGGGGGTGTGTGAAATGGCCGGCAGCTGTCCCTGTGCTAACACACAGTTACCACATGACGCAGTTCCACTTCTAGGTGCGCACCCAAGAGAACTGAAAACCACACAAGAATTTGTACATGAATGTTCACAGCATCATTATTCATAGTAGCCAAAAAGTGTAAACAACTGAGGTGTCCAACCACTGGCAAGTGGATAAACAAACTGTAGTGTACGCCTCCAGTGGAAACGTACCCAGCCATGACCAGGAATGAGCCTGCTATAGCCTGGATGAACCTGGAAAACAGGCCGCTCAGAGAGACCAGACAAGAAAGCTTACATGTGGTGTGCTCCTTATGTGAGGCGCCCAGAACAGACAAATCGAGACAGAAAGCATACTCGTGGTTGTCATGGGCTTGGGGGGGGGTGGGGGCAGACAGAGAATGATGAATACGGGGTTTCCTTTTGGGGTGATGAAAATGTGCCCAAACTGGCTGTAATGATGGTTATACAATTCTGTGACTATATGAAAAACCAGTGAATTGCACACTTTAAATGGGGAAATCATACGACAGGTGGATTATTATGTCAATAAAACTTATTAAAAAATAGTAAGTTTGCTCAATCTCACCACCTTAATGCAGCTAGTCTCCCTGCATGCCCCTGCCCGTCTGTATGTAGTCATGTGTATTTTTATATACTTGCTGTTGTGACAGTTTTAACATCGTGTCCTATATATTTTGTCCGTCTTGCAAGACCCCATGACCATCAATTTTAATATTCCCTAAAATGGGCTCATCACTGTTTACCTGACCAACCCTTATTAAAGCATTTAGAATGCTTGTTACTTTAAAAAAAAAAAAAACCAACACCACCACCAACAGGGAAAACCTCTGGCTAATGCTCTTTCCCTTTCTTGGATCATTTTCTTTGGTTAAACTTGCCAGAAATGAAATTACTAGGTCAAAGGGTATGGCCATTTTGTGCCTTTGAGAAGGATGATGGCGATTTATAGTACACACTTTGGATACTACTGTTATCATTAATTTGTAATGTTAAAATGACAGTCGGTACTTATTTCTTTGACCACCAAGAAGCAGAACATGTCACAAGTGCTTGTATATATTATGACCTTCTCTTCTGAGTTGCTACTTATAATAATCCTTCAAAGACATGAAAGCCAAGAAAAAATGGGACTTACCCAGGTCACGTGGCATGTAAGAGAAAGAGGTAGAGCTGAGTGTAGGACTCTGCATGACTCTCCCACCCACCCCTGCCTGCAGATGAATTTCAATAGCGCACGATGAAGGGAAGCTATAGAGCCTCAAATGGACATCACACAAAGTCCCCTTCCAGGCAGGACTGGCTGTGTGTGCTGGGCCCGGAGATCCTTGCCAGCCCACCAGGCACCCGCCTAATGGCAGAGAAAGAGGCTTGTCATGCTTCCGAGGAAAACTGTGTATCCTGCTGAGTGTCTTAGAATACGGGCCAGCACCTGTCACAGACTCCTATCCTACCAGCATGTGGGATGCCACAGGTGGTACCACTGTCCATCTCAGCCCCAGCTCACCAGGAATCCCGCCAGGAAGAAAAGGTGCACTGTGCTTGGTGAGCCACTGGAGCATTTTCCGGTGCTAGGAGAGAGGAACTAGCCTGGGTCCTCCCGGCCCCTCCATGTCCAGAGGGCACATACCACTAGCACCACCCTCTTGAGGATGCAAGCATGGCCTGCCTTTTCATCAACACACCTAGTTCCGGTTTCCTAGAGCACAAGATTCTACTTCTGGAATTCTGCCATCATAATGATGGTACAAGCCTGGCACACAGGGCAAAGCCCTTCTATGGTATCCACCCAACTGAGCCATCCTCTGTACCTAGAGCAGGCACTGATGTGTGCCACATGGACGCCAGCCACTGACTGGGCCACCACCTGCTTCCACAGCTTCCCTCGGCCAGCACACCTGTTGCTTCTCCGTCTCCCCTCCCCTCCACACCCATCCTCCAGCTGCCTTCTGGAGCTGTCAACTGTGGCAGAGACGGGGGGCAGGACACTTCAGTATGAAGGGGAGAGGTTGGGGCACCTGAGTGGCTCAGTCAGTTGGGCGTCTGCCTTCAGGTCAGGTCATGATCCCAGGGTCCTGGGATCAAGCTCCATGTCAGGCTTCCTGCTCAGTGGGGGTGTCTACTTCTCCCTCTGCCTCCGCCCACCCAAGTTATGCTCTCTCTCAAATAAATAAAATCTTAGGGGAAAAAATGAAGGAGAGAGGTTTCTGAAGAACGAATTGTGAACTTTTCTGGAATTCAACCCTTAGTTCCCCGAGTGCCTCCCAATATAAAACCAAGGGGCGTGCCATAAAACTATGTTGTCTAAGGTGCAATAAAAACTAAGAATGCTATGATCTTTAAAAAGAAAAATCAGGGCGCCTGCGTGGCTCAGTCGCTTAAGTGTCTGCCTTCAGCTCAGGTCATGATCCCAGGGTCCTGGGATGGAGCCCCACGTTGGGCTCCCTGCTCAGCGGGGAGCCTGCTTCCCCTTCTCCCTCTGCCTGCTGCTCCCCTGCTTGTGCTGTCAAATAAATAAAACCTTTAAAAAAAAAAATCACATGTCAGGGCACCTGGGTGGCTCAGTTAGGTTAAGTGTCTGCCTTCAGCTCAGGTCATGATCCCAGGGTCCTGGGATCAAGTCCCACACTGGGCTCCCTGCTCAACTGGGAGCCTGCTTCTCCCTCTCCCCCTGCTGTGCGCTCTCTCTCAAACAAAATCTTTAAAAAAATCACACATCTAAAAGCAAAACAGTTTTCCAATAAAAATGCACACTGCTCAAATGACGCTACAAATGCAAATGTGGAACCTGAGATGGCACCCTGGCAACTTTGCTGTTGCGCAGGCACTGCCACACTGGTAACTAGAGGCTATGGAAGGGGCTGCAAGACCCAAGTCCCCGCAGTTTGCAGTTCCCCTGAGGAGAGGCAGGCCTGCAGTCCTGGAAGCTCAGTGAAGTCAGCATGCAGCCCTGGAAAGCCAAAACATGCCTCTTAGTCTCCTGTTCCCATCTCTTAGACGTGAACTGTGAAGAAACATAATCGCCTGAAAACCCTCCCAAGTCTGTCGCACTGAATGGGGCTGCCCTGGGGCCCAGAGGATTTTATGGATGAATAGATGTTGCCACTTCTGGTTCTCAGAACTGGAGATCCAGCTGACCGCTCAGCAGCTGGCCAGCCAATGAGGTGCTGACCCCAGCAGCACACAGGTGTGAGGGTACAGAGCGGGGTACCCAGAACACCAGGGCGTGGGCTGCACTCCACACAGGAGAAGTGCTCTCAGTGAGCCATAGCACATTACACAAGAAGGAAAAGTGTTTTGTTTTGTTTTTTTTTTCTTTAAAGATTTTATTTGAGAGAGAGGGAGGGAGAGCACAGAGGGAGAAGCAGACGCCCCGCTGAGCAGGGAGCCCCACTCAGGGCTCGATCCCAGGACCCTGAGATCATGACCCGAGCCAAAGGCAGATGCCCAACCGACTGAGCCACCCAGGCGCCCCAAGAAGGAAAATTCTTACATGAAGTTCTCCTGTCACAGTGGAACAGTGCAGGTACGTGGGTCAGACGCTCATCCCATGCAGGCTGCAAGGGCAGTGTATTCCGGGGACATGGATCTTCCATGCCTCTGAGGACTGCAGAAGTCCAAGAGATGGTACTGAGTATGCACCTAGAGAAGCAATAATCCTGACACCCCTGGGGTGCTTGCTACGGGTGTTCAACTGTCCTCCTCAGCCCTTACGGGGCAGCCCTGCTAACATCTTCACGTTAGAGAAGGTGAACACAGCTCATGTCACACCCAGGGTCACATGGCCTCACAATAGCGTTTTAGGTGTTTTCAACGATTTCTCTTTGAGCTTTTAAATTCCTGCTTACCAGTTTTTCAGCACAGTTTTGGGGATGCTGAGGAACTTCCCACTTAGTCCTGGATAAAAGTGACATGCCACTGCCCCAGTCCCAATGGCTCCTACTTTAGAAGCCACTGGCCCTTGGGAGACAGCTGCTTTCCAGAGGCTGGAAGTCTATTTGAAACTAATCAGTATCTGGAAATGCGTGAAGAGTGGAGGTTACTAGATGGCACCCGGGCACAGGAGCCTCAGGGGTCAAATTGACAGAGGAGATCAGTGTCCCCTGGACTGCATTTTCAGGATGAGGCGAGCCTGCCAGTAATGGTCCTGACCCTTGCCAGGGCAGGGAGGCAGCATGGGCCAGGTGGCTGATGAGTTAGAAGGCTCAAGATACTTGAGAAGGTGCAGTGGCCTCCAACAGATACCCTGTGCCTGCAACCTCTCCATGCTGTTACCACAGGCCTGTGTCCAGATTAGCAAGAAAACCCTTAGAATGGAAAGGGCCATAGCCTGCCCTTGTAAGGGGAACAGTAAGGCCCTGGAGATCTGGGGGCAGACGTAGGGGAGCCCCAAGGGACAGGGGGTGGTATGCCCAGGAGAGAGGGTCC